ACTGCACTGTATTATTTCGCTGCTCAACCACTATGATTTTTCCATATTTCATTTATCACGACAATATAATAATGCCTATCACTGGTTATAAGCGATAACAACAATAACGGTTTTGAGCATCTACTAGTAATGCTGCTTGTTTGTGTTTTACAGGATTTGGAGAACCTAGAACTTTTTAAAGCAAATATCCGTCTTACTGAATGCACTAGTACCATCAATTTTTATTTTACTTGCTGTATAGTTATCGTTCTGTTTTTTTTTTCGATGACGAGTGTATACTTGTTTAAATAGCATAATATTATAATTTTCCACACTTCTGTTGTTTTATCAATCTGGTTAACATAAAAATTGTATTAATTAACCACTAATTATTTGGCTTTCTTGTGCTGGCATTCTGCATTTGTATGTTTTAATTTACTCTATGCCATGCACGCGTATTATGGGATGTATTTAAATCATACATGTGTATTGTACACGTTCCTTGCACAAATAAGGATGTCACCTAGCAGTAATGTTTTGCTATGAAATTGCTTAATCGGCTGGTCGATTATTAGTCTAACATGTTAATCGTTTTAAAATAAAATGTACAGTAGGATAACCGCAAATGAAGAACTTTTACTTGTTCACTTTGTATGATATGCATTTTTTACATCGGAGGCTGTTCTGCATATTGTCGTACCCGTTATTACAGGTGAGATGAGGGAAAGAAGCTACTCGAGTAGCAAATTACAAGCACTGTAAACTTATTCTAAATTAAAGGCTAAATCTTCCCTCATAAATCATTCCAGCAACTATATGGGATAGAAAGTGACCGCTAATGATCGGTCATTTTCCGTGGTTGGTAGCTACGGTCGAATGAGAAGAAAAAAAAACGTTATCTCGTACATTTCGGTACTATTTGTCGGACCTCGTCGTAGAGAATTGAAATTATCAAAAGACACTTGTAGGGATTACCGATTATTAAAAGATGTAAGATTATACAGAATACATCTTTAAAGAATATAAAATTTATGAGTAAGATATGAAGAGGTTAGAAAATTGAGGCAATTCGATGTATTTCATTCATGAAATAACCGCTTTGAAACATAACTTCATCGTTAACAATAAACGAAGAATATAAGGTCCTCACTGATGGTATCCATCGATGATCTAACAAATGTGAAGAAAAAATATAGAAATTAAGAATTAGAAATTTCTATTAAACCAGTTAATTCTATTTCTAGCAATATTTTAGCATGTAATGCAACTGAACTGTAAGATTTGATGGACAACTTAAACTTATGGATCCGGTAGATGAAAATTTTGAGAATATTTGAATCCATAGATATAGAATTCGAATAACCTCAAACAGTTCTCCGGAAATTTTCAGGAACTCTTAAAAATCTATAGCAAAATTAATGAGAGTAAACTGCTCCGGACGCCGTTCTTGATTATGTTGGACGGACCGCATATTGGTTTATATCATATAGTATCTCTATGGTTTTTTTTCTTTCTTTTTTTTTGAGGACGGGTATTCTGGTAAAGAGCCTCAAGTGGAATAATTACTCAGTTAGGATAAAAAAGCAATCAAATTTAACTCTCAATTAAAATTTTATTTAAAGTAATTCGCATTTTCTCATCGATTACATTTTGGTGTTGTTAATGAAACGTATTATATTTTATGAATGTTTTGGCTTACTGTTTTGGTTGAGTTATTTTAGATTGTGGAATAGGGATGAAAATATTGGCAGTTATTGCCCTCATTGGATTAATTATACCTGTAATAGTTGTTCGATCTAAAATTCATCATCTTGCTTTAAGAGTAAGTTTGATTTTATGCGTTATTTTTGCGACATGAGAAACGTAAAATGATGATCATTTCCACACTTTTATCGGATATTTTAATACACTGTAGATTGTGATGTAATGCAATAGGAAGTTCTTTTCTTCATTTATTTCATTCCCTGAAAAATGTTCAGCTAACACACGCAGCATAATGTTAGTGAAAAAAAAAAAAGGAAAGATGGAATTTGTATTAGTTAGGTATTTAATGCTAAACTTTTGTCTAAAATTTGCAACAATTAGTAAGTTGAAAATCAGTTAGAAAATAAGCATTTATTCCAAGAAAACAATTATTTTGCTTAATGTCTACTATTGCATTTTTTCTAATGAACAAAAAGAGTGTTAATTTTAAACGAATAAGTGCTTGCCATTAACCGCAACGAATAATTTTATTGTAAGTTGTATTAATTATATACTAATACGTCTTTCAATTAAATTATTTCTTGTATTTGAGAAATAAGCGTTTCGCTGATGACTGGACGGTAAAGACTCTCTATTTTCTTGCAACCAAGTGATTTAATAAATATGCAGCAATAGAGAAAGCAATGCAATAAATGATAGCTGTTTTCTTACAAAACCTTCATTTTCCTTGAATATAAGGTTAGGGTAGCTGAGGAAAAGAAGGAGTCTTATTTCTGATTTTATTGCAGAATGATGCGCGCAGAAATATCTTACTGACAACATTTGGATTCAATAAAGGTGGTACATTTAGCTTAAAGCTGTATAATTTCACGGTTCCGGCGGAATTGGTGTCACCGGATGTGACACGAGAACAGCGTAATACTGATCGATTCGTTCGTTTTATCCTTATCGTCATTCTTATTTCTTAGTCTATTTTAATCTTTATGTGGAAGAGGATTTTATGCGAAAATAAAGAGGCCACGAGGGAGGGAAAAAACAAAAGATTATGAAGGCGATATATGAGAGGGACAAATGAAATAAATTATCTTTTGTATGTGAATAACTGTCTCTAGCGATTTGTTCATTTACATCTACTTGCACTACTTAATATGCAACGATTTTGAATTGTGCATTCACTACAGGGTGTTATTGGTTTTACGCTTTCACGAGGAAAGGATATACTGAATGGTGTCAGATCGAAACCACATGTATGTCAATTATCACAATTTGATCAAGGTGATGCTTTTGTGATTTTTTTTTTGACACTCATTTTCCATTAGTTTTCATCCATTGGAGACCGCAAATTTCTTTTCCTTGAAAAAAAGTTTAAATATGTAAACAGTTATAACAAGTCGTTCTAGGTTTCGATGCACTTTTCTTTATCTTCAACTTCACTGAAAACAGTTTGAAAATTATACGTACAGGATCAGTCCGTGATTTACAGTTGTGTCAAAATTTAGAGAGGTTGTAAATTTTTTCTCGTCATCATTTTTGAGATGGTTTATTGAATGGATTACCAGTATTCTATTAATTTCTTTATTTCAAGTTTTAGCCAGAGCATTTAGCACATTTTTCATATCAAGAGATCTCTGCTGAATGGCGGATGATCCCTCGAGTACTGACGCAAGAGCAAAAGAGGATGACAGTTTTAAGGCATTTTTTTCCCACTAATTAAATTGGTTGTTATAAAACTGTTTGTTACATTGAAATTTAAATGTTTTCCAAGTGCAACATTGCAGTTGTCCAGATCAAACAGAGCCAACATTGTCAGAGGCAGAACCCAAGGATAGTTCCGAGCCATCTGTCAGAGTTCGTTTTCGCTTTAATATTGGATATCAAGGAATGCTAAAAACAAAAAACACATTTATTGCAAATTATAATATTTGGAAACCGTTTTTTGGTTTTTCATTTTCGATCATTGGAAGTTATTGTTGCAGGACTCACCAACTGGATCAGGTTTTTTCAACAAATTACACAACATGTTATTCCCAGTGACTACTACAAGAATACCATATAAAGATTATCTTCCTTTAAACCTTTCTGGAGATCAATATTCTACTTCGGTTGGTAATTCGATATTCAACGAATGATTTAAAATTTTCGAATAGGCAAATTCGTAGTGTTTGTTGACAGAGAAAGAATATGGCTTATGTCAATTTTTACAATTTGAAATTTGAGGAGAAAATTTAAGGTTGCATTACGGTTCAAGGAAGGACAGCAAGGCAGTTATAGTTTCATTTATCACAACTGTTTCAATTACCGGGCGCATGGTTATAGTAACCAAGTTGCTGTGCATTTCACCGTTTGTTATTTTTTCCTCTCCAATGTTTCATCAACACTGAATTCAGATAATATAGGGGCTTAAAATCTATTTGAAGTATGATATGGCGATATTCGGATGTCGCTAAGACGATTTGATCGGATCATACCACGCGTCAGTCAGCAGCGAAACATTTATCCTTCCAACATGTTCTCCTATCTGACTCTCTGTAAAGTTGTTGTACGCAATCTGCTCTTCACTGAAGCTATCAATGTGATGCATTAAAAAAAATTGAAGGTTGACATTGTCGAGCGTAATCTAGGATCATATCTTCCTGCTGGTGATATAGCAAAACCAAAGTTGTACTTATACATGGCAGTATTGTTTACAATTGCCGCTTGCGTATGGATACGTAATATCTGTCATTCGAGGTTACACATGCTTCAGTTACTTCGATTACAAATTGATTTGAATGTAGAATAGTACAATTCTAACTATTCCATTATTTTAGTTCGGGTACGGTTTACAAGATACATCATCTTATGACAGCATTGGTCATCTTAAAATTGATGTCTTTATTTTCCCATGGTATCAACTATTACTTCGTCTCAGCATATGGACATCAGCGCGAAATTTGGGCTGTTATTTATTACATCACGCATCTGTATCTTTTTCCACCTTATGCCCTATTAATTTCGCTTGCTTGAAACTTTTTACTGTAGAGAATTTTATTGAATTATTTATTGATTGTATCACCGAAAGATAATTGTGGTTGTTGATACCTGCAAACTTATGAGAATAGCTTTGCATCATTTTATCGGTTTCATTCATTTCTTTTTTTCTACAGATTAAAAGGTGCACTCTTATTTGGAACAATTATTCTAATTGGTACGGGATATACGTTTTTCAAGAAATTTTTGACTGATCGTGACAGGAAATTGTTTGTAATTGTTCTACCACTTCAGGTTAGTTTATTCCGATAGCGTTTTGTGCTGGTTTTTGGGTTATTGATAATGTTTTATGATTTAAAATGTCAGAAGTTGACAATAATTCCAAGTACAGCAGTTATGGTTTCATTACATCGTACAATTATTACTTTATTGTAAGATCGGAATTTCATTACATCGTACAATTATTACTTTATTGTAAGATCGG